TGCAAAGGGCGATGTTTTGCAAATGATTCTGTCTCAACACTCAAAGGGGAAAAATACTTTTGTCTTGTGAGTTAAGACCTTACTGGGGTATCTGGGATAGAGACTTCATACAATGCAAACCCGAAATCAAAATGAACCAAAACTTGACTGGGAAGAATGGGATCACAAACCCAACACCGCATCATACATCAATTGGTATCATCTTCAATTATCTGGGAAGCACAAGAAGGTCATACTCATACCAGTAAAAGTGACTTGGGGAAATCATACTTCCAAGAGTTCAGAGTTCGTTCATCCTTGGAGTCACTATTTTTGTTCTCCTTGAGTCACAAAATTTAAAGCAATAAGTAATTTGTAAATTCTTTTCAAAAAAATTTCTTTGTGATTCAATCTGTTTTCTTTGAAAATTACTATCAATAATAAATGAAGTCTTTGTAAGCTGAGTTAAATAAGAATTGCAAAGAATTGGATAAAAGATCAAACTTTATTAATAGGATGGTAGTCTGCAAATGACGAGACTCCATAGATGATTACAAAGTTGGGAAAATGGAAATATACATTGGAAAAGATACATTGAAATACAATGACCACTATTATCCCCAAAAACTTTGAATTCCTGTACAACGACTTTGGTTGAAGAGTAGTGAGGATCCAAGAAGATTGTTGCTTCAATGATCAAGTCTTGTCTGATGCAGTTACTTGGCAGGAAATCCGTAACTTTTGACTATATTTCCCTTTAGAGTTTTCAACCTACCGGGACAAATTATTCTGTTTATGTCTCTAAATTTTGCCTAGACCGCCCTTACGGGTTTCCAGCCTACCGAGACGCTCCTTTTTGCCTAAGCCTCCCTTTCGAGTTTTCGTCTTAGCGAGCTATTCTTTTATCTATTTAGGTGAAGTATTTCTTGACTGCGTAAGTATTCAAAGGACGTGGGAACTCCTCGCCATCCATTGTTTCAAGAATAAATGCACTGCCAGAGAAGGCTTTCTTGACAACCTATGGGCCTTCAAAAATGGGAGTCCACTTGCCCTTAGAATCAGTGTTAAAAGACAGGATCTTATCGATCACGAGGTCGCCTTCTCTGAATTCACGAGGTTTGACCTTTTTATCAAAAGCTTTGTTCATTATATTCTGGTATAACGGGCCATGACACAAAGCTGTCATTCTTTTCTCTTTATTCAAATTCAACTAATCAAACCTGTTCTAGACCCATTCAGCCTCTGACAACTTGGTTTCCATTATCACAAGTAAAGATGGAATTTTAACCTCAATGGGGAGCACTACTTCCATGCCATACACGAGAGAGAATGTGGTTGCCCCTGTTGAAGTGCAAACGGATGTATGATACCCATGCAAAGCAAAAGGAAGCATCCCATGCCAATCTTTATAAGTAACAATCATTTTCTGGATGATCTTCTTGATGTTCTTATTAGTAGCTTCAACAACCCCATTCATCTTTGGCATGTAGGGAGATGAATTGTGGTGGACAATCTTGAATTCTTCACAAAGTTCAATCATCATTTTGTTATTCAGATTTGAGTCGTTGTCGGTGATAATTCTGCTTGGCACACCATACCTGTAGCGGTAAAATCAATGAAGTCGCCACCGAGTATTTATTTATCCTATATAAAAGGGAAAGGAAAATCATCGAAGAAAAAACCTAAAGGGGGAAGCCAAGGTATTGCGACCGAGAGATTGGCTAAGGGAGTCGATTACGAGAGGGAAAGGTATTAGCACCCTACACGTCCATAGTACTCTACGGGATCCACTCTCGTTATTCTAATCAAAGGGTGTGTTTGATCTAATGCTTAAGAGTTATAGACTAAAAGGGAATACATGCAAAGAAAACACGGGGAAAAGAAGGAAATATTTACAAATTTCGCTCGGTTGAGCCCCGTGACCAGATAGATGCCTACGTATCCCTTTTAAGGAATCATAGTGTCGTAGTTTGGCTTATATATTTTTGTTTGTTTGTATTTTTTAAATGAACAATGTTGCATTCGACCATTCCATTGTTGCTCGACCTTTGAAGACTTATGACCTGTAGTGGAAAGGAACTAACATGCTCTTAGAAGAGAAAAGCCGAATGGCGAAAATAAATGGATTGGTTGGTATTTTTTACCAAGAAAAGAATTTCCATGTGCTTAGAGATTTTTATACATTTGCCAAGAAAAAGAAGTTTTAATTTTAAATGCAATTATGCCAAAATGGGAAGAAAACAACTTAGGGAGCCTAACCTATCTCTAACCTAATGTTATCATACAATGAGGGAACCTACCTAATTTAGCATGCCAAAGAAAGTTTAACAAACCATCCTATAGGGAACATACCATGAGAGCAAAGTCGTGATCTCAATTTCTAAATTGAGTGACTCATCGATCAACAAGAAATAAAGAAAAGTGATAAAATCCTATAGGGAGCATGCAATAAGAGCGAAGTCGTGATCTCAATTTCTAAATTGAGTGAATCATCGATCAACAAGAAAGGAAACAAACACAAGCACAACACATATAAGAAATGAAGTGCGGAATGTCTGCTACAAGTCTTTAAACAGCGACTTCGAGCGCACACTCTTTATTTCATGCTTCCTACTTCACACGATTTCTAGAAAGCGATAAGTGCAGAAATATAATTTGGAAGAAATATAATACCAAACAAGCAATAATGTCTGCAAAAAGTGTAACCAAAGCAAAGAAACCCGGAATACTTCACGCGAGATGGAATCAACAAAGAAATAGTCAGAGATCGAATATTCGGAATAAGTGTCGAAGCTTCATCGACGTGAAAATAAATCATCATCGAAATCCAAACACATCCGCATATCAAACAATGAACCTGCGTAAGACTCAACTCAACATGCAAAGGTTAATCACAATTTCAAATAGTCGAAAAAATTAAGAATTAGTTTCCTAAAAATCAAATGAGAAATCTAACAATTTTTTTGTGTAGTCTATTAACTAAAAGTAACATTCCTAAAATCTATATTTTTTATTGTTTTCATTATATGTATTTTATTTATTATTTTTTATTATATAAAAAAAAGAACTTTAAACTAAACAAAATTTAAAAGAACCATGAATTAGGAAGAGCCAGAGGGTGCTAAACTGGGTCAGGGATGGTATATATCAGCATTCCTAAGCCTAATTCTATAATGAGCCCAATAGGTATTTTTTGTTTACAATCACTAGTGTTAGAATTTTTTATTTTACTTGGGCTTAGGGTGTAATGTTTCGGTCCACACTCATCCAAATTAAGTCCAATATATTCATTATCATTTTTTTTGTACTAGCAAACTAATGAAAACATAAAACTAATAAAAAAACAATAATGTATCAGAAAGAAAAGGGTTGAAGAAAGGGGCGCTTCAGCTTTTCTGCAAACATATGATCTCTCTTCTTCATCTTTCTCGCGGAGGCGTCAGAATGAATTTTCTGATAGACTTAATCCTCCATCCGATCGATACATTCTCTTCTTGGCGTATTCGTCTATCTATCCATAATCTACTTCATTGGTTCACCTCTGTCTCAAATCAAGAACTCCCAAACACCGATCCCGCCTGAAATTATCCCCTAAATCTGAATCTACCCATACCTTTCATCAATTTTTGCTGATTTCATAAACCCCTGTGTAAACCCTAGGTCTTCTGACTTTAAATTAAATGCTTCAATAGAAGATTCAGTGCATAATTATATAGGGGGGTCGATTCTCCTCATCTCACTCCACACAACCGTATAAGGAATGAAAGAAAATGGTGAAGTTCGACGTACCTTCGATAGAGTTTCTCTCAGGTATCTTCGGTCTTCTTTTTATCTTTGTATTCTTCCCTTTCTTCCTCTATTTGTCAACTTATTATGCATCTTTCGTGTACTTCTATATAACTGTGCGCTTCTGATGATGTTGTAACTGTATTTGTAGATGCGGTGAAGGAGGTTGAAGATGAATGCGGGTTGATATTGATGTTGAAAGTGTTGTTGAGGATAACATGAAAGAAAGTAACATAGCAGTTTCTGAGGGAGAGAAGAATGTTGTGAGGGTTCTGGATGGAAGAGACGGTGAGGCTTTGAAGATCAGAGAGAGAATGAAATTTTTTGATGAAAGAGAGTATGGAAGGTTGAAGATTGAAAGAAGATATAAAGTCCGTTATGCAGAGAGATGAAAAGGGGGTTCAAGGAGGAAGGTTATGGTGATCAAGGTAGAGGTTTCAGAGAGAAGAATGAAATTTTCCAATGGTTTTTTTTAGAATGAATCCTCCCGGGTAAACTTTTCTGATTCTCCCCCTTTTTTTTTCAATCCCCCCTCAATTCAATTATGAACTCTCTTATCACCTCCTCCTCCCAATTCTATTACCAATTCTGTTATCCCTTAGAAATTCGTTAGGAAACGGTTAGAGGTGTTAGAGAGTTAGTTATTTGTTGATGAGCTGGCCAATTTCTGTTATATCAGTTTATTTTGGGAACTATATGATATTTGGAGTATTAGTAAGTCTTTCTGATTCTCCTTCTTTTTCCTACAGGCCAACCGTCTTCTGAATAAAGTCACCAGAATTGAATCTGTGAAACCGTTAGAAGCTTAGTTTGACAAGGTTGATTCACCACTACGGTTGTGAATTTAATTTAAACTGTGTAATTGTTGTTTCTTTTTGGATGCAGGCTGGCTTGAATAAAGTGAATTCTTCTTTAGTTTTTTATTGGTTCAGTCTGTTGGAAAAAAGTCGAAATTTTGTTCTGATGAATGAAAACAGTTAGGGGTCTTGCTGTGAGGGTTAAATAGTTAGTTTGTTTCTTCTTTGTATTGCTGCTTTTTTCTTAACAGAACTTGTACACACTTGTAATGTCGGAATCGTTTTTTCAGTTTTGACAAGTTTTCCTTCAAGATTTTGCAGTTAGCTTGCGTTTCAGCTTACGTTTCAAAACCATTCTTTTGAATTGCCTTGGTGATAACTCATTGGAGGATTTTAGGGAAGGAGAAGAGTAGACAGAATTATAGCAACCAGAAGCAGTCATCTGTAACTAGTAAAATTCCATATCCTGGGTAATTTCCAGTTGGTGGACCAATTTCCTCGTATCTTCTTAACAAACCCATCATCGATCCAATCAACTGTAGTTATGTTCTGAACAAAAGGAAGTAACAAAATAACTTCGCCACTACCATTAGGAGGCACTTCACGACTCTTTATTTTAAGAATCAAGTCTTCAAGCGGATTTGAAGGTATCAACCTATGGGTGTTTAGAATCATTTGTAAATCCTTTGAAGCTAATGGTGAGAGATGTATTTCAAGAAAGAATGAATGATGTCTAGTATTTCTAAGGACAGCTTGACTTTGGATCCCCAAATGGGAGTTTTCTTTGTAATTTCTTTTGAGCTCTCCTTTTTGCATTGTAATCTCTCTATACATCCAAAACTTGAATTGTGTTTATTCCTTTTTAAATTAATGTTCCTAATGGATTACAGTAAATTTTGATATTTGGTGGTGTGATACGGTGGGAAGAACTGACTGTTTTTTGGAATGCTGGCTTGCGTTTTGCGTTTGTTTTCGCAAAATTTCGCGGTAAGCAAGAGTCTCCACTGACATTTATTTTATCCAACAAGGAAAGGAAAAAAGCACAGAAAAATTCCTTTTTTCGAGATATTTCTTGGGTTCGGGGGGTAGATTATAGAAAGGGAAGGTGTTAGCACCCTTTCTATCCGTGGTTATCCACGGGCTCTTAGGTACTTTCTCAATTGTTTTCAAAAATTTTCTTTTTGCTTGTGGGTTTGAAAAAGTTTTTGTTTTGAAACTTCGATTTAACTCTTGCTTCTGTCCTCAAGAGCGTATGAAGTGTTTTTGAAAACTTTGTTCGAAAAGGAGTGTAAGTGTGAAAAAGGTTTTGTTTTTTGAAAGAGAAAGTATCTAAGAACCATCTACCTACTCAAAAAAAGAATCGTTCTATGCTAATGTCCTTTAGACAATGCTATCCCACTATGAATGAGTAGGTAGCACCGTCGTTGGAGTTTAAGGGTCAATTCGAATGAGGAACTTAAGGTCACTAAAGCAATGTTAGGATGCTTTAGCGGTAACCCTAATGTCTTAGATCATTTGTTTGAGGCAACAATATGCGAGGTAACTGTTTCGAGGCAACTATGATCTTTTAGACAAGAGGACGACCTATAAAGCGACATATACTCAATGACCGTGTACAAAGGCAACCAAGTGGGGTGTACCCTAAGAGTGCACATGTGCGAGTGTGCCGTGTTCAATTATTTTTATCTTTGCACATGTCAAGGGTGATCTAATTTGATTTTAAGATTAAGCATTTAGTCATATCATGCAAACCCTATTATCAAACATCTAGCAGTTATAATTTGCGGAATAAAAATGCGGAATTTAAATTACAAGGCGTCGGGTATTTACATCTCCAAAGACAAACCCTTTGAAAAATAAAGTAAAGCGGTAAAAAATAATTAAATGTCCTATTTAACTATTACAATCCGGAAGCAGGTACATTATTGGATAAAAATAAATAAAGCGCGCGGGAAATTAAATCGAGTGCGAGTTTAGGGTTTTGACCCTTTTGGTTAAAGCAAATGCCATCTTTTTGTTATTTTTATTTGAGAAAAGAGATTAAGTCCTAAATTAATTACTAAATTAATTATAAAATAAATTAATTAATGAAAAATAAATTATGGCATATTTTTGGATTTTTGTTATTTTAAGGAAGAAAATAAATTTAATTAAATTAGTAGTTAAAACCTAATTAAATCTAATTAATTTTAATTATTTACAAAAAATGAATTAAAGTTTTCTAATTAAAAACACCTAATTAATTGATAAGTTTATTAAGAAAAATAAAAGTTTAAAATTTGATTGAATAAAATATATTTTTATGATTTTATTTGATAAAAAAAGAATTTTGTTATTGGTTAAAAAAATTAATTAAATGAAATAAACAATTAAATAAAATAACAAAATAAATAAAAAGAGAGAGGAGTTGGGCTTGATTAGGAGGTGTAAGGATCAATTTTTTGCTGGCCCATTTGGACTTTTTCTGATCCAGTACACGCATGTTAACCTGGCTCATGGTGCTCCTTCGATTGCTGACCATCAGATCTGGCCATTGGCCATCTGGCGCTTGGATTGGTGAGGGCATATGGTGGATTGCAAGCTTGAGCGCGCACTAGAATACCTGAAAAATATGAAGAAAACACAAATTGCTAGAGGCAGGGATCGAAACTCTGACCTCCAGCCTTGGAATGCTTTAATGCTTACATGGCAACCGCTGGGGCATGTTGTTGTTTGTTTATTAATAATACAAATAATACATTATATAAAAAATAAATCAGATGCCAGAACAAAATAAAAAAACGCGCGCGATTTTGAATGACCCAATGGACGGATGACACAAATTCATCCCTGTCATCCAAAACCTGCAAAAATTACCTGCGGATTTGTATCTGCAGCTAAAAGCATATCCTTGTTCTAAAATCCTCTCCATGCCATATAAATACATTCCAAGAACATGGTTCAATTCGTCATGACCTCCTGATCACAACCATGTTCTTCTTATGGGCCAATTGTACCTGAAACAGAAAGCCCTAAACACGAACAAGGAACCCTAGCTATGGTGATTTTCCATATAGAGCACATAAATGAAATTGGCTATTACCATCAGTTTGCAAATGATATGAGGGTTACAAATATGCTATTAGTTTTCTCAAATAATGTCAGAATAACTCAAATCGAATTCAAGAACACAGGTCGTTTGTGTGAGACTTACAATGCGTATGGAGGCCTGAGGATGTGTGGTTTTGATCGAGTTAGCTTGTATGAATGGCCAGGAATCGATTGTGATACGTCTCAGCTCTTGAAAACGCCTTTAACCCTGATTTTGATCCCTCACTTTTTTTTGATTTTTTGCAAAGTTGTTCTGCCTCTTCCAACGATTTCCAACCCTTATTTCCGTGCCTTCAGCTTGTTTAAGTATTACTTAGTGCATTAGGTTCACAAACCTGGCCCAAACCTCTCCATATCAATGCTCATGAATTTGATTTCATTCCACCATTAAAACCTTCCAAATTTGATTTGATTTGGATCTTTTTGTGCATACAAGCCTTGATTCGAATTTGATTGCAATGCTAGTTGTGACCAAAGCCTAAAACAACCAAAAAATCATGAGTTATTAATGCCTTGGATTTTATATGATTTTATTTGATTTAAAATGAATAAATTCAAATAAAAATCAAATTAAATAATAAAAATGAGATATGGGCACATGGCTGAAGCTAGGGCACGTGGGAAATGATGCAAACTCAAATCAAGTGGAAACAAATGGGCCCATTTGGCAAAATTTGAAGTTTTGGGGATAGTTGACTTTTGGCAATTTTGCAAAAAAGTCCAACTTCAACCATGCATAACTTCTTCAATTTTGAACTTTTGGAGATGTTCTTGGACTTTATAGAAAGCTTGAGATGTCCTATAATCAACAATTTTTGTCCCATCTCATTTTGATATTCCATGCTCAAGTTAGAAGCTTTGACAAAAAGGTGTTTTTGTTGACTTTTCAAAATGACCTATAATGTCCAAATTCATAACTTCTTGTGAGTGCATAATTTGATCTTGGGGTATGAAGATGGATTGTAGGGAATTGCATCCTATTCAAAATGAGCTTTGGATTGGTCATTTATCATAAACTATGATAAAGTTATGCTTGGTCAAAGTTGGGTTGACTTTTCCTACAAAACCCTAATTTAGCAACTTTTGAATTTTGATGAATTTTGAGCAATCCTTGATGAATCATGATCAACCCTTGATCAAATGATGAAATATACTTCAAAATGATAATGTTGACAAAAAATCTTGAAGTTTTACTATATTTGGGTCACAATTGACTTTTGCCCTAGCACAGTCGATTTTTGGACCTTTTGAGCAATTGACTGAGAAAACTTCCTTTGCAAGGCTTGAAACTTTACATGGATGACCTTGAGAACATATTAGGACATTGGGGAGCACTTGAGATCATTTGGACTCAAGGATCTTGATGCAACACAAAACCCTAATTTGGGGTTGACTGCCTTAGGAGATAGCTTGTCTGACCAACTCTTGAGCAACCTTGAGGAACTTGGAGATTTTTCTTGCAATGTTTTGAGAAATATGGGAGGGAAAATTTTAGGGTACAACAGCTGCTCCTAATCAATCTTCTTAAACCTGAGGATGTTGATTGACTATCATGCCTTTCGTGATCCGAAGGTGGAAGATGATTGAACACTAGAGTGCCCAGAAATTTGCACTCGCATGAAGTGCTATCAGCCTTGTGATGTCGGGAATGGGATTACATATGCCATTTGGAGATTGCTGACGGGAGGATGGGCTTAAAGATGCCATCTTATGGAGTGTCGATCGCATAAGAAATTCCTTAGCGAGAGCTTGTATACTTGTTGTAGTGGGAGATTCTGTTGGGGGAGACTGATTTTTGTTGAGATTTAGGAACTTGCCTGTACTTAAACTGAGAGAACATCTCTGCTGAGTTTTAAGAACTTGTCCATAATTCAACTGAGGGGGAAACATCTTCACCGAGATTTAAGAACTCGCCCGTAATTCAACTGAGAAAACTATGCTGAGATTTAGGAACTCGTCTGTAATTCGACGGAGGACTTTGTCGAGATTTAGGACCTTGTATGTAATTCAACTGAGGATAATTCTGTTGAGATTTAAGAACTGGTCAGTACTTCGAATTTAGGGAAACATCTTCATCGAGATTTAAGAACTCGCCCGTAATTCAACTGAGGATAACTCTGCTGAGATTTAGGAACTCGTCTGTAATTCGACGGAGGAACTTGTCGAGATTTAGAACCTTATCTGTAATTCAACTGAGGATAATTATGTTGAGATTTAAGAATTGGTCAGTAGTTCGACTTGGGTAAAAGCTTCAAAACTTTGAATTTTGTGAGAACATAACCGCATCCTTCCTGAAAGGTAAAGATTAGTTGTATGTAATGCATGATATGTATCAGGCAATGATGTTCTCAAAATAAATGAGATTGTGTTGTATGATGCGTATATGCATGCGTCATGATGTATGGAAATGTAATGTTTTAGCTGGGGAAAATAAATCCCGGATAGCTGCTGGAGAAAAGAGTTGAATTCTTCGTTTCCACTGGAGATAGTGGATGAAGAAGATTGTGAGAATAGACCTGCAGGAGAGGATAACTCCGTTGGGGAATAAACTGGTGAAGAGATTACTCTGTGGGGAAGAGATGCTCTGCTAAGGATTCCACCGATAAATTCCGCTGGGGATGAATTACCGTTGCTGGTGATACTGAATCCTGTTGGGGATTGAATTTCTTGTTTTGTGAAAGGAAAGAACTCCGCTGGGGGTGATCTTTCAGTTGCGACTTCACTGGAGATAACCTTTTAGGCTC